TCGACTGGATTTTTTGGGGTTGATACCTCCCAACTTTGAGCATTAACTACGTCGGCATAAGTAAAGATATGGAAAAAAAGGTTACCACAACTGTATTATATAAAGATGAAAATTTCTTATGATCTGGGTTTTATTGCAATCGGAGTCACCATGGCAACATAATGACGCCATTACGTTTTTCATTTATCTTTGTGTTTCTCTCTTCCAGGAGTTTTTTGAAGAAATCGCTTAAGTGTCATTGTCTGAGAAAGTGTTCCAGGGGCCAAAAGTTGTGTTCAACCGATTTGGCTGAAACTTGGCACAGAAGTTGGGTGTGATGAGATATTTCAAAAGCCACTTTGGCTCACTTCTCTGACTTTTAGTTTTGGAGTTACAGTGGGGGGGGGTCTCATTTTTTGCCCTTTGAGCACCAAAAATCCAGCCTTCCAGGGGGCATTTTGAAAGTGTGATAAGACCCCACTGGTAAATTGTGCTGCCAAATGAATTTGACCATGAACTCTACTATAATAGAGCTTTCAGTTCATGCATGTAACTTTGAGACTGGGGCTAGAGTTTGGTCAAAATTGATGTTAAAATTACAACCCAAAATAGCCATTTTTCAAAATTTCACTATATTCACCTGCCTTCTTGCATAACTTCTATACCTATACACTGTTTACTTTAGTCACCCAATTATCAAAATCAGTTGAGAAAAATTTGGCTTATTATGGTTTATTGAATTTTTGGAACAAACACTTCATGCCCCTCTAAGGCGATGCAAAATGGAATTTTGAGCATAATTCAGGTCATAAACAAACCAAATTGTTGACAAGAAGCCCTTATTCTGTATTTGGTAAGCGAAAATGAATTGTCAAAGCCGAATCAGTTTCGTTGTTTAGAAATACACCGATTCTTACCTTTAAATTGGTGTAAAACGAGCCTCTGATTAGCACAAATAACACATGATTTAGCAAAACAAAGGTGATTTTATTCTTTGAAAACCTGGTAACCACCATAAAACACAAATGATAATGTTCTGACGTAGATATAACGATCTTTTTACAAGATGCCTAAATTTTTCTTTAATTTATATTCAGTTTCACCACAGGTCGCCCAAGCGTAATATGGGCCGCCTGTGGCATATAATGGGAGTTAGATGAAATAAATGAAGTAAAAGCGTTAAAAGTCATCAATAAAGTGTAAATATAGTTACCTGGAATCGTTGTCTTTGTTTTTACGAAGTTTCAGCGCGATTTGAGTACTTTTACATCATCTGACCTGACAGTGTGTAAAAGTACTCAAATCGCGCTGAAACTTCGTAAAAACAAAGACAACGGCTCCAGGTAACAATATTTACGCTTCATTGATAACTTTTATCGCTTTTACTTCATTTATTTCATCTAAGTTTCAAAATCTATTTTTCCCATACAAACTCTCATATTATGCCACAGGACGCCCATATTATGCTTGGGCCACCTGTGGTTTCACGTCATATTTCTAAGCATTACTCCAAGCACGTTAAGTCTCGATACTTTGCCAGGCCCATTTTTTAAATATTTTTACCAGATAAATTTAGCTTATCAAAAGGTTTGCTAACATTATATTCTTCGTCTGACCTTGTAGTAGCCCGAATAGTTATTGTAAATACCTATCAGCAAAGGAGTATGACCATACATACGTAGATTGTACAAACATATACGAGCTTCAGTGAGCAGTATCGAGGTGAACTGTCATTTTCTTTAGAGATGAAAAAATGAAACCATCCATCCACAGTTAGGAGAGCTGGATAACAAAAAGCTTGTTTTGCTTTTATAAAGAAAACAACTCAAACAAAGCCTTGCATTGAGATGATGCAATTGTCATTACATTAAGTCTGCTGGCCCGCCATTTTGGACTTGGAGAGTGTGGGGACTGGACCGAGTTCCCGTCCAATCCTTCTCCTTTTCGCGAGAATTTGTTGTGTTTTTCATCAGTGCCGAGTTGTTCAAAGCAGGGTTAAGATAACCCAGGGTTAGTGCGAGATTTGAATTCAGATTTGAAAGCTTAAAAAGCATTTCGGTTATAATTCTTTTTGTCTACAAGTTGATGATTGGAAGCTCTAAAAATAGCGGAGAATATTATCCGAGAAAATGCTTTTGAACACAAGAAAAACAAACACGGGTTATTTTTAAACCAGGGTTAAGCGCTAAACCGCCTTTCAACAACTGGGTCCTAGTGTGTACGAAATTCTAGAAAGCGATCTGTTTCAGTAAAATTTTTCGATGGCACTTTATTCCTTTGCAGGGGTAAATGACCGGTGCAATGTCACGTCGTGGGCTGTGCAAGAAACAGGAATGCTTCCTTTGTTGTCTTGCAATAGCGGCATGACTGCGTGGTTAAAGCACAAGTAGAAGGGTTCAAGTGTGTCCGGAGAAGAAGGGGAAGACCTGGTGATGCCAATGCTACAAGTGATTCAAAAGATCAGTTAGGGATCATACATGCGCACAAATTGCTCTTATCGCGGTTTATGGGACTCTTTTGCTTGAAGAAAGACGATGATATATAATTTACAATATTGTCGTCTCAAATTGTTTGTTTATGGTTGATTGATTCCCATGTTAATTTCCTGGGTCCTTAGGAAGTGCGCTAAACATTCAACAAATTTGTAAAAAAAAAAAAAGACAAGTACGATAAGAATAACTTGAAGGCTGTTAATTTTGTCTACTCGAGCTGCTTGTTTACATTCAGCTTGTCACGTGCACTTGCTTATCATACAGTGCACAATCCAGTTACTGGTTTCCATTATTTACCCTTTTTGTCGAAGATCTTTGAAAACATGCTGCATCTAAATTTGTCGATGAAATTGACATTTCCAGCGAGAAACTGTCATTAAAACGCCATCGCAAAATCTACCGAATTAGTCGATATTATTGGATTTGCTTGGAATAAAGCATAGGCAATGAACACACATATGTTGTACTTGAATGGGAACTGACTCTGAATTGTTCTGGAAGAGCACGGAAGATTCGTGTATATTTGTAGAAAAAATTGTTTCATTATCTAATTAAAAAATTATTTAAAATAATGTTAACTATTGAATTAAAAATTTGATGAAAAAATATAGAAAAATAAGAACGTTTTTTTTAGCGTTTTTGCCTGTGAAATGTTGCCAAAATTCGGTTGACTGTTCAAACTGCTATTCAGTATGCTCCTATATATACTGCTATTCAAGTTCTAGGATTCTACAATTTTTTTTCTAATGTTCTTGACATTTTCTAAAATTCTTTTTGGTGTCTAAGATTCCCAAAACAATTCCTGCGGAATTATGTAGCTAGGTCTATTTTAAGTTCACTTGTCTTCGACACAACAGGCAAATAAAGGAGACCAGTGGAGTTTCAATGCAAGCCGGCTCGAAATTGTGCATTGCCAAACTTAGCATTGCTTTATAGGCGTGTCCACGTGACAAGCTGAATCTAAATAAACAGCTTGAGCTGGCAAAAAAACAGCCTTCAAGTTATTCCTATTAGTGTTGTTGTTTCTTTTGATAAAGATATTGCTGCGATGAGTTTGTTGAATGTTTAGTGCTCTTCGTAAGGACCCAGGAAATTATCAAGGGAATCAATCAACCATAAACAAACATTTTGGGACAACAACATCGTAACTTATCTATCTTCGTCTCTCTTAAAGTAAAGGAGTCCCATAAACCACGATATGAGCCATTTGTGCGCGTGTATGATCCCTACCTGATCTTTTGAATCACCTGTAGCTTTGGCATCACCAGGTCTTCCTCTTCTTCCCCGGACATACTTGAACCCTTCTACTTGTGCTCATGCCGCTGTCGTAAGACAACAAAGGAAGCATTCCTGTTTCTTGCACAGCCCACGACGTGACGCCGCACTGGTCATTCACCCCTCCAAGGAAATAAAATGCTATCTTAAAATCATCCTGAAACAGATCACCTTCTAGAACTTCGAACACACCTGCTGTAAAACACAAAAAAATTCCCGCTAAACAGGAGAAGGATTGGACGGGAACTCGGCCCAGTCCCCACACTGTCCAAGTCCAAAATGGCGGGCAGTTAATTTGATATAATAACAATTGCATCATCTCAATGCAAGGCTTTGTTTGGGTTATTTTCCTTAAAAAAGCAACAAAAGCTTTTTGTTATCCAGCTGTCCTAACTGTGGATGGATGGTTTCATTTTCTCAGCTCTAAAGGACTCGGAAAATCACAGTTCACCTCGATACTGCTCACTGATTCTCGTATATGTTTGTATAATCTACGTATGTATGGTCATGCTCCTTTGCTGATGGGTATTTACAACAACTATTCAGGCTATTACAAGGTCAGACGAAGATTATATGTTAATGAACCTTTTGATAAGCTAAATTTGTCTCGTAAAAATATATAAAAAAAGGGCCTGACAAATATGGAGACTTCACGTGCTTGGAGCAACGCTTAGAAATATGACGTGAAACTGAATATAAATCAAAGAAAAATTTAACCATCTTGTAAAAAGATCGTTATATCTACGTCAGAACCTCATCATTTGTGTTCTATGGTGGTTGCTAGGTTTTCAAAGAAAAAAATCACGTTTGTTTTCCTAAATCATGTGTCTTTTTGTGCTAATCAGAGGCCTGTTTAAGATCAATTTAAAGGTAAGAATCAGTGTATTTCTAAACAACGAAACTGATTCGGCTTTAACAGTTCATTTTCACTTACCAAATACACAAGTAGGGCTTCTTGTCAACAATTTGGTTTGTTTATGGCCTGAATTATGCTTAAAATTCCATTTTGCATCGCCTTAGAGGGGCATGAAGTGTTTGTTCCAAAAATTCAATAAACCATTATAAGCCAAATTTTTCTCAACTGATTTTGATAATTGGGTGACTAAAGTAAACGGTGGAATAGGCATGGAAGTCATGCAAGAAGGCAGGTGAATATAGTGACATTTTGAAAAATGGCTATTTTGGGTTGTAATTTTAACATCAATTTTGACCAAACTCTATTCCCAGGGTCCTCTCTGTGCAATACCTTGAGGACAAAGTTACATGCATGAACTGAAAGCTCTATTATAGTAGAGTTTATGGTCAAATTCATTTGGCAGCACAATTTATCAGTGGAGTCTTATCACACTTTCAAAATGCCCCCTTGAAGGCTGGATTTTTGGTGCTCAAAGGGCAAAAACTGAGACCCCCCCCCCCCTGTAACTCCAAAACTAAAAGTCAGAGAAGTGAGCCAAAGTGGCTTTTGAAATATCTCATCACACCCAACTTCTGTGCCAAGTTTCAGCCAAATCGGTTGAACACAACTTTTGGCCCCTGGAACACTTTCTCAGACAATGACACTTAAGGGAGTATGTACCTGCTATAATTGCCTCCATTATGGCAAAGTTTGAACAAATTCTATGAGAGCGTTTTCGAAATATTTTGAAATGTAGTTTTAAGAATAATAGAAACAGTGAAATAGCATGCTAGCTACACAGTTCGCTAATATTTTAAGAAAATGATAAGCTTTAGGAACGAGGCTTCATCTCATAGTGGTTTGGTTCCATTGAAAACTGCATACAAAAAAAGAGGGGAATTGCTCTGGGCGATCGCGAGTAAGAAGAATTTTATTAACTTGCATTTAGCTGCTTTTGATAAAGTTTATAAAGTTTTTGGACGTAATTTTGTCCATGCCTAAAAATTTCGCATTTTTCCAAAAACTGCGCGATGAATTTTTTTTATAAATTCGACAATCCCGAGATGAGTCGTCAAGAAATATTCCCTGCAAGTTTGAAGAACATTGAAAACAGGGAAGGCTTTTAAATAGGGCCTCAAATATAGCCAATTTTCCCCCCAGATTTTGTGTTTACAAGTGGGGGTCCTCATTATTCACTGGCATTGCATATACACGTGCACATTTAGCAAAAAGATAGAATTTGCATCAAAAAGGACCCTTGGTTAAATCTCCGGGATATGCTAATTACCGGGTAAAGAGATTAATGATACATTATAACGTCAGAGCAACTCTTTGTGAGAGTTTCTGTGATGTTATAACCTGAGTAAGATAATTAAGTATTCCATCCTACAAGATGAGCCGTGACGTTCACCGTTTCGGCTCTCACTGCTATCTGTGACGACAAGCCAGTTATTAGCATATTCCGGATATTTCTTCGGAAAGTAATCGAAAGTTCTTTTTGATGTAAAATTATATCTTTTTGCTAGTTGTGCACGTGCATATGAAACTTGAAAACAATGCCAGTGAATAATGAGGACCCTCACTTGTAAACACAAAATCTGGGAGGAAAACTGGTTATATTTGAGGCCCTATTTAAAAGCCTTCCTTGTTTTCAATGTTCTTCAAACTTGCAGGGAATATTTCTTGACAATTGATCTCGGATTGTCGAATTTATAAAAAAATCTATCGCGCGGTTTTTGGAAAAATGCGAAATTTTTAGGCATGGACCAAATTACGTCCAAAAACTGTATCAAAAGCACCTGAATGCAAGTTAATGAAATTCTTCTTACTCGCCATCGTTCAGAGCAATTCCCCTCTTTTTTTGTAAGCTGTTTTCAATGGAATCAAACCACTATGAGATGAAGCCTCCTTCCCAAAGCTTATCATTTTCTTAAAATATTAGCGAACTGTGTAGCTAGCATGCTATTTCACTGTTTTTATTATTCTTAAAACTACATTTCAAAATATTTCGAAAACGCTCTCATAGAATTTGTTCAAACTTTGCCATAATGGAGGCAATTATAGCAGGTACATAATCCCTTGAGCGATTTCTTCAAAAAACTCCTGGAACAGAGAAACACAAAGATACATGAAAAACGTAATGGCGTCATTACGTTGCCATGGCGACTCCGATTGCAATAAAACCCAGACCATAAGAAATTTTCATCTTTAAGGAGGTATCAACCCCAAAAAATCCAGTCAAGCCACCTTAAATCTTTAAGCTTACAGTATCTTCTACAATCATAGTTTCTAAATAATCTTTTTGTAGACTTTAGCATCAATTGTTTGAAAGAAAACGTCCAAAGGTTAAATTACTACCCCTTTTGAAAAGAAAGCGTTCTGTCAACTCACCGTAAAAGAGAAAGTTTTTTGCCGCTTCTTGTAATTGCTGTCAACAGCGGCTACGATCGAGGAGATCGAAAGAGATCAAAGATAATTGTAATAAACGCTGTTTAAACACCACGAAGTCTTTTCTTACCTTCAAAATCATCAACACTAAGATATTCTTGTATTTTCAAAAAGTTCTTACTCTGAAACTTTGGCAAGACACCCAGTTCACGACAGTGATTTTGTTTTGCTTTATGTTCACCGCCTAGTGTGGTGATATACCGAGACGCGAAGCGCTGTTTACCGACCCTGAGGGGGATATACAGTTGTTTTAGTGTTTACAGAATCATGCAGTTGGATAAAACTGAAAAAAAGTAGCTTTTTGTAAATTAGAAACGTCACTTGGTAGGATCTTTGTTTACAATTTACAAACATTTCGGGGATTTTGTCAAGTGCATTTTACGATTTTGTTGTAAATTCGGCATGAAAATCATTTTCTACTTACCAGTGAACACCGACAAGCCAAAGTCGCCTTCTTAGTATTTGTTTGTATTACTGCTACATTTATCGCACAAATTTCGTCTTCCGAAAATGTCTCGAAACGAGACGTCATCTTGACTCCGGTCGCAAAACATGGAATAACCTAGGATATTCCGAGTTACGGCAGCCAATCATAACGCGCGAAAATTGCTATTTACTGATTTGGTAAATACTAAAACGTCATAGTCCAAGATAGCGAATCAATCAGATTGCTCGAATCACCAAGATCATTGAGTGTGTATATACTAAAATATGATATACTAAAATTCCCTCGACAAATGGGAAAGTTTTCGAAACGCAAATGCACATGGGAAGAATGCATTCAAGATTCTATAATATATATTTAGTAGAAAATTAGAACTAAATTAAAAGAGCGTAATGGTAACCAATTTAACAGGAAAAAGGAGTGAGAAAATAAAGGTGCGATAATGGTTCGCACTAATGTAAAGTGATTATAGGGTTAAGCAGTGACTTAGAATGGTTAATAGTTTGTAAGCTTTTATTTTCTGTTTAACACTACACAGCAGTGCTATAAAATTAAGGCTGGTAGCGATTGCTTTGTGTAGTGGTTAAGAAATCGTAGCTCCCTAATTCTTTTCCCTTTTAATCTTAGGATTTAAGCAAAACACAATAAGAAAGGTTCGACGTGTCGGACCATTTTCTGAGCTATAGATCGACTCGACCTATGGGAGCGCTCCAGTGTTTTCGCCTTTCCCATCAACCCTTGTGCCTCGAATATCTCCAAAAATCCCGAGGAACGACTGAGTGCAAAGCATGAAACAGACAAATAGACGCAAAATTAAGAGAGTATAGCTTCTTGGCTTAACATTATATTGAAAACATCTTAGAGCAAACCTAGATCCCTTGGTTTCTCTTTAACATAGACTCTTGACAGTGATGTTCGCAAGCTAAAGGGCTCGTATCTTACAATTTAAAACGATAATACGTAATAACTACTATTCAGAATGTTTTTACAAAAATTGTAGCTTAACGATGACTCACTTACACGTCACTCTGGGTTGTATATGTTCCATAAAGTAAAGCCTCGTGAGCAGTCCACTTTACTGGCAGACGACCCTGTTTGATCGCAAATGAATATAACATTATAAAAATGTTAAAAAGAAAGAATACAAAAGAAAACAACAACAAGGACAAGTGTGCCAGGCTGTCATGGAATAAAAACCGCATGTAGCACAATAAAGCTGTTTTCGTACTAAGCTGCTGGAAAAAAAATTGGTTTTCAGTTTTAGAATTTGAATGAAAAGCAATTAGTATTAGAACTCGGTGATTGAGGAAGTCTACTTGAAGCTGTGATCTCTGCATCGCAAATCCTTCCCTCTTTTTATGCTCATCGACCGTTAATTGAGTCGAGTGGTTAAGATGACAAGCACCAGACAAGTAAGCTATCACCTTCCTATCATCCCCTAAGAAAATTGAAAATGTGTAACATTCGTCATCTCCTCAGAAGCAGTCATGAAATGCGTCTCGAAAGACTGTTTTATAGAGCAACTTTTGAAAAATTCTAACCCGACTTTTCTTTGTGTAAATGTCATCTTGGTTTACATCCCTCGCCATTCCAAAATCTGTCACCTTACAGTTTTCTCCTTCACCTACAAGGACATTTCTTGCTGCCAAGTCGCGATGGATAATCTGGCCAAAAATAAAATAATATTAAGCAAGTCAATTTTTTTTTTCATTCATACCTATTCAGTTTTGACAAAATCAGTTTTCTCTTGATAAAGTCAATTACATTAAAACAGGTATAATAATGAAGAGAATCTTGAGTAATCACACGAAACCGCACTTGCAATCCATAGTGAAATGTATTTTTTAATGTTGACTCCAGTGACTCTTACACTCGTCCCACGTGCTAACAGAATCTTCCAATAGCCCTTGTTAATCCTATATACTATAATTCTTTCAATAGTTTTCAATCGATGTATTATTTTTTTGTTTGCGACAGAAAAATATAAAAGAAAAAAATTGCTCGGTGACTAGCTGTCCTTAATTTGGCACAATTAGCATTGCCTTTATCATTAACATTTTTAATTTCCTACATGTATCCACCACTTTGTCGTTACCTTACAAGATGAGAGATAATTCATTCCATCAGCGATCTGCTGGGCAAATTGCATAAGCTGCCGTGAACTAAGATTTGTTTGCGGCTTTACATCAGGACTGTTGTAGTACGTGTCCTTGAGACCCCGACTCTTTCTTAGGAACCCCAATAGATCACCGTAAGGAATATACTCAATGAGCACGAGTAAAGGCTCTGTGAGAAAAGATTGTATGATACATGATTCATTTTTGAGTTATTTAAAAACGTCATAATTATACAATTTGTAGATCGCTGGTTATAGAATTATCTCTAAAGACTCGTTGTTTTCGACTGAGATGATTTGCGTTTTTTTGTAATCACCTTTCTCTGAAACTTTGTTAAAAGATTTTTTTAGAAGTTTTTTAGACAATAAAACACAACACTGGTGCCTTAGCCAACTGTAGAAATAACAAGAAAATCATAGTAAAAAATGTGGTTTTAACCAGGTCTCTCTATTAAGGTCTATATAGGGTGAAAGTGCGTGGCAGATAATTACTCCATTTACCAGTTTCTGTGACGCATCCCAGTAGCTTGATCACGTGAGGATGAGGTTTCATCTGTTTCATCAAATTCAGTTCTGACAGCAGGTCCTCTTTGTCAGAATCCGGGGAGTTTTCTATCCAAACACAAAAGCAATAACTAAGCAAACATATTATTAAAAAAGTGCGCTTTACTAATCATAGGTTTCAATCTCAAAATATCACCGACCTTTCAGCATTTTTACTGCTACCGTAGTCAAGCCCTTCATGCCTTTAATATTCCAAGCCTCTCCTTTGGCAACTTTAGAGAAAGTACCCTTTCCAATGTCTTTAACTATGTGGACAAATTCCCTACTCACTTCCCAATTCTTTGATGTTGTGCTGGGTTTAACATCGTCACAGTTCTCGTAAAGGGGTTGTTGTCCCTGCTCAAGTGAGGTACTAACTTTGGATGGTGGTGGTGCAAATGAAACCTCATCTGCTAATGTAGCATTCTCTGTGGTGTTTACATATGCTTCCGTCACCTGGAGAGGTGCTCTGTGACCCTGTAATTCAATTTTGGATTACAAAATAACACCGATTAAAAATATTAGAACACGATATCTAAGATATCGGATGGTTGAAACGAAATACATCTGTGAAGGTTGTGGGAAGGCTCTCCGATGGATGTCTTAGAACTGACGCTGTGACGTATGTAGTCTTCGGGACACTTCGCCTAAATTTTAAACGGCTGCTGAAGGAGGTCTTTGAAACATCTACATCTACAGAAGATCAGTCCGTTGTCTTTTACAACAGCAACAGCAATAACAAAAATTGTAACTATTATTATTATTATTATTATTATTATTATAAGCGGATCGAGCGAGGGTTTATATCAATTTGTCGCGCACTCGGAGTGTCATAAATATCTCTTTCTATCGGTTTAGGAGAACACAGTTGCCTGGCAACAAGGCAGTGTGTAAACAAAGCAGCCATAAACCTGGCCCGGTTGTTTTAATTACTGTCAGTTACCTCTATTTCCTTAAGTTCTTCATTTTGCTCATCCCGATAACTACCAAAAAAAGGATAATTACATGTCATTTCTGTACTGGAAGTTTAAAATATGTATGGTTGCAAGCTAAGCGAGGTAGACCTACCATTTTTCCATAACAGAGAGGGTGGTGGAAATTGTTATAAACTATACTGATGTAAGACTGTGTGCTTCTAAGATCTTTAACCATGTTATCAAGACATTATATTGACACCTACCCCGTGCCGTTTGCTGGAGCTGTAAAGAGTAAAACAGTGGCTGCTTCAGTATAGCTGACAATATGTAAACTTAGTTTTTTAATGTCGGGTTTATTTGGAGCACCATGTGACGGGAATTTAAAGAATGTTATGGTATTTTTTACTCTTCAAGATGGCTATTTAGGTACGCCTTGGTATGTGTAACATTTGAGTCACATCGAATAGTCGTATTTACATTTTCTGTCAAGAGAAAGCTAAACGTTTTCCGCAACTATAGGTTACCATCTTTTCTTACTAACAGGGCACGTCTTTGGTTACATAGTTACATGCACTCAATAAAAAAAAAAAAAATTGTCACATGGGACCTTATAAATTTATCAGCGATCGAAATTTAATTGTTCTTTATAGTCTCTTTCATTATCAAGAGCGCCTCGTGCAGATAAATTCAAAAAGGAGTCGAAGAGCTTAGTTTTCTTGGCGAAAACGTCCCTAGTGAGCAATCAATGAAATAACATAGCACAGCACACCCTTTATGTGCGTTAATTAACGATCACTTCGCAAATAGCCTTTGGTGTTATTTATTGCCTGTTTACATGGAGGTAGGGGACCTCAGGTAGGTGAGGTAACTCGCTTAGATGTGGTAACCCGCCTGTCCATATAATCTCTCATTTTAATTTGATCACGTTTACATGATAGGATGATAGGTGGGGTGACCCACCAAGGCGGGTAGCCCGGTTTACCAGACCGGGTTACCCTCACAGCCGGGGTCAAATTTTGCCATGTAAACGTTTCAAGGTGGGGTAACCCGCCTGGTGGGGGTCGGATTCGTGATACCTCAAATTAGCGCAAAATTCACTTTGGCGGTGGCTTTGCATCATTATTAAAGTCAACAATATAGGGAGCCACAGCACTGAAGGTTGTAGCAAGAGCAGCAAGGGAGTGTAGAAGTGCATTAATCGCCAAAACACGTGGTTTGCCAGCATTTTTCTTGTTGACGTGCTTGGCGACCACTCAATAATTTTGAGAAAGTGCACCCCGGGATGCCGGGGTTGTAAGATGGCATGTAAAGGAGGGTTATTTTTTTGCCCCACATAAGCAGGTTGCCTCACCTACCTGGGGTTCCCTACCTCCATGTAAACAGGCCCCTAGTAGTTTTAGTAGTTTGTGTGAGTATTTTAATTGCTTAAAACCCTTTAAGACGGAATCGTACAAATTTGTACGATCTGATATGACCCACAGTCATTTGACCAGCAGTTTCCTCAAACTTAGTTTCCAGACCCCCTTCTTTGCAACGCTTAGTGGATTGTTTTGTTCGCCATTTTGAGTTGTTTTGAACCAGTTTCTGCGACATTTTCGATTTGTTAGAGCAAGAGAAAGCTTAATTTTAGTTCTGCAACATGTCTGAGCATAGGAAACGTTATCATTTGAAAGATTTTTTGATTATTTTGGATGGAAACTTCGAGATACCCGATCGTGGCGTGTTTCGGATATCGCAGGCTTTGATATAAACACCGAAGAAGATAGCAAGGATGGAGTAGTGCTATTTTTTCAAACCAGGGAGAAGAAGAAGAGGAAAAACTCAGTCTTTGGGACATACACATTGATGATTCAACAGTGATTAAGATTTTTTTCATCCTGGAAGGCCACAAAACATTTGTTTGGATGTTTATGTTTAGCTCCTGGAAAAGCGATCGAGAAGTTCTCACTTTCAATGAATAAGGTTGGGCCTACGAAGGTGTAACACCCAACCAGGCTGTATTTTGTTGACAGAATATAACCTTGATAGTATCAAAGGTAGGCAAATGTGGTATGAAAATAATCCTCAGTAAATTTGCTTTAGATTTAGACTCCAGCAGTAATTTTCATGACCAACTTGGAAGGTCAGTACACTGAAAACAATTAAGGTGAACTTGTTGTGTGACATGAACTTAATATTTAAAAACCTGTGAATTATTATTTATTAGTTACTTATCAATAAAAAGTGGCTTAGCAGATAGCCCAAAGTCTTGTCTACCAGATATCCAAAGTTTATGTTGATACCTTAAATTTCAAGGAAGATTCAGTGCATTTAACAATACCAGCCTTAGATCTTAAAATGTGCAAAAAATTCAGGTCTTAAAGGGTTGTTCCATACCCGCAAGAAATGACTTTGCCAAGGATGAAATGCATAGACCATAGGAATGTAACATGATATAAGAACTGGTGTGCATTTTTTCGGCACCTGAATTTCTCACAAAATTTGTTCAGATTTTCCCGTGTACACGGGTGAACAAACATTGAAAAGACGGCGTTCAACATGATTTTCCAAGAAAGTGTTGAAGGAGAGTTTAATACTCCCAACCTATAACCCTTTTGTTAAAAGCAAATAAGTAGACCAGAATGATTGTGGGGAAAAGGGGTAAGGGATGAAGCACTCCAAATATGGACAGCAGGTCTCTCACTTTCCTCTACATATTGGTGTAATAATCAAAGTCTACACGGTGATAGGTCATAATCCTCTCTAGGTGGTGATAATCCCCCAGGGTAATTAGAGGTGATAGTCCTCCTCTCTCGAGGTGATAATCCCCCAAGGTTGTGAGTGGTGGTGATAGCCACGCTTGGGTACTGGAGAGGTGAAATGACCTCTCATTAAAGGAGTAAAAAGAGTCTATGAGGTAAAGGGTGGCCTGTATGGGAGCGTTTCATCCCCACCAAATACCCCAAAGGGGTATTCCCCATAGACGAACAAACGGAAATGTAAACAATTTATCGACTAACAGTGACGTCATAAAAATTTATTCAACACAAACTGGATGCAGCTAGTGTATCTATCCGAGGTGGGGACGCTGAAATGTAATAACCCAATCCATATTGAAAATTTTGTTATTGAGTTAATCATTCATTGTAATGCATACTTACGATTGTTGTTCGTAAGCTACTAAAAGAAAAACTGCATGATTTATGGTTTCAAGCCCTATTAAAACAGTAACATCAAAATACGTGGAGTAAGGAACGGAGTTGGGAATGAAATATACAACAACATACAGATACCATGAGCTAATCACAAGCCTAGCATGTTAAGGGGATTACAATCCCCTCTCCTCTCCATGTTCAGGTCAGAATATAGTAAGAATTACAAAGTAGTTTCTCTTCACGATTTCAATCACAGTAACCTAGAAAGAGGTATTCACTCCTCTCCAGGGGTAAAAATCCCCTCAAAGAGGTCCTTGGTGGATTCGGAGGAGTGGCAATCCTCCACTCCACTCCCTCTCTGAGATGAAAATCCGCAGGGAGAGGTTCTTGGTTCTTAGGCACTTCTAGATCAAAGAACAAAACAAATAAAGCAGCCGTTAAGCGGTGGATTATTATACGCTAATGACGGAGTTTGACCGCGAGTGGTGCAACCAGGTTTTAGACTTGATGATTGCATTGCGAAATAACAACGCATTCTATGCAAGGTAACATCTTTTCCTAGAAGGTTTGTGCAGAAAACTTGACGTAATAAGCGTGTATCCAATTAGAAGATAAAGTTGGGCCTTTTTAAACGATGATCTAGTCGTTTCAGCTTAGTTAAATTCCAATTCTTGAAGAACTAGCAGGCCAGAGGTAACAAGCGTTCCACGAAGAGAAGAGTATGAAATGCTGTTTTGCTGAGTTAGGCGCGAAATTGTAGGCATCAACCGTTCATGTGACCGCTGGTATCTTATTGACTGAGCAAATCATTCAGTGTAACAGGGGTCACATGTAGAAAGTAACCCGTGAAAGGAAGTGAGCGGGCTCTTTCTCCTTAAAATGATTACTGGTAAAATCGGGTCTATGGTTATCACATTAACTTTAATTTATCCTTTAGTATAAATTAGCTTGCAATGGGCAGTGTGAGAGGCGATTACCTTTATTTCTGCATTTTCTCCAGAGAAAAAAGGCCAAGGTAATACTTGCGAAAACGAGACCAACAATGACAGTTGAATATGCGACGTGTAATGTGGTTCTTTCTTCTTTCATACCGTCAACTAGAAATCAAGCAAAACAAAAGCTAAAGAATAAAAAAGAGACTTTTTGAAACGGCCATCTTACTATAAATCAAGATAGCCGGAAAATGGACGGAGGCGACTCAGAACGTTACCACCTTTTTTTGTTTAATACAGATTAAAATCAATCAAGCTTATATTGCTTTATTCGGATCTTATAGTGTTAGCATAATTCAAGAGACCCGAATTTCTTATGTTGTATCTACTTAATTGTGAATTTCTTAGAACCATGGGCACGGAATTAGTTCATTCGTTTACGCGTGGCAGTGAAATAAGCCGGAATAATAATAATAATAATAATAATAATAATAAAAACG